TCCTCAGCCCTGTCCACGCTCAGCTACGTCGCCAAGTTCTTCCCACTTCAGCCGTTGATCGCCCGCCGTGAACTGCGCGTTTTCCATGGGATGCTTGGCCTCCCGCCGAACTCAGTTCGCAAATTTGGTTGCATAGCCGTGGCGTGGTGGAGCCCACCGCCCGCCCCACAGTCCGCTCAGGTCACATCTGTCGCTGCCGCTGCCCGTTCTGCTGTCGTCGCTCTCGCGGGTGACCGGGGGCCGTTTGCTGATCGCCTCGCTGACGCATCATGGAAACCACCTTTCAGAACGCGCCTCGCTGTCAGGCTGGCGCGTGGTCCCCCGCTTTCTGGTCGTCTCAACAGTCCATCGCACAGTATTATCGCCCCCTCATCGGAGCCCAGCCTCAGAAGCCGTTCTCCCGCCCAGTCACATCCGCTTTGCGCGCCGCGCGCCTCGAACAGCGCGAGGCCGCAGCTGCCGCCCCATCGCGTTGCCCGGAATTCCACGCACGTTTGCGCGCAAGCTTGCAGAGCAAGCTTTCGCCTCGCCATTTACCGCCACTCTGCGCAAACGCATCTCGGCGCGGGGCCTCCAGGCGCCGTCGGCGCCAGGAGAGCTACGACAGCGCTGGGCAGAGCTCGCGGAATCACTCATACTGGTGCGCCCCAGCTGGCGCTGGGCCACCTTTAAGACACTCATCGGTGGCTGGACCACCACTGGGCGCATGCGCGTGCTCGCCCCGAAACAATGCGTTATCGGGTGCGGGAGCCAGCCAGATTCATATCCCCACTGCCTCACCTGCCCCTCGCTTTCGAGCCTCCTCTGGTCCCCTGATCCCCCCCTCCTCCGTTCGGCGCTCGCTGCCGGGGGCCTGGGGCCCGCAGCTGCGCACCCGCCCGAGAGTCAGGATCCGCTCTCGTTGCGCTCGACGATTAAGCGCATCGCGTTAGCGTTTCACCTCTACAACAAAATGAAGCATCACACTGACCCGAGCTCCCGCCCTGCGGCGATGGCCGCAACCAGCCGAGCTGCCAAAGCATTACATTACAGGTGAGAGAGCCAGCGACGGGCGCCGCGGACGATCATCATTTGCCCTCGTCTCGCTTCGTGCCCGCTTGCCCTCTTCTCGTCTCTTTCAGGGTACCTTAACTCCTCCTCCTCCTCCTCCTCCTCCTCCTTCTCCTCCTCCTCTTCCTTCTCCTCCCCCCCTCGTCTTACCACCGCCGAGGGCCAAGTGAACTCAGTCATGCGATACGGATCGTTCGTTCGTTCCTCCTCCTCCTAGCACCCTGCAGTTCTTTGTTTTGTGGCAAGAGTTGCCCGTTGCGACCCGAGCACGGCTGCCCACCACAGCGCCGAGCCCAACTACAACAAGATCAGGACAGGCCCACCTCCCGCGCTGCGCAGCACGGCCACATCGCACGGCGCCCAAGCCAGCACAACAACGGGGCCCCACCGCTCCTCTGCCCAGGCCCCACTGGCGGCGCGCGCGCCCTTCCCGTCTCCGCGCACCAATCCACTGCCGAAGGGCCCACCCAGGGCGCTGCCCCCCCCTGCCGGGAACCGCTGTCTGCCCGCGCCGTTTCATGTGCGCAGCGGAGTCGGTTTCGGCGATTCTTGCGAGCCCGAACCACCCGCGAGCCCCCCCCCTGGCGAGCGGGAGCGTTCACCAACCCACGAGCCGACGCTCCAAACCCCCACCGCAGCAAGGGGGGGCGGCAGTGCCGACCCAAGCCCAGGCATCCGCACGGAACTGGTGGCAGAAGGGGGCACGATTGACGAATTTAACGGTGAGCGCGCATGCAAGACGCTTCGGACCGCAGAGAACATACCATCGGCGACCCCGACCCTCGCCCCGCCAACGGGGGAGGCGCGGCGTCCAGCGGACACGCAGGCCGCGCCCGCCCGTCCCGCCGCATCGGGCCCCCTATATCCACGCCAGGTACACGCCCCCCACCCCGACCCCGACGACAGCCTCTACAACAAGCCCCGCCGGGACATACGCTGGCACTGCGCATGGAAGTTCCAAGCCCGCCAGTACGAGTTTGGGCCAGAAGTTGTCAACAAGCTGAAAAAGGATTGCGGCCCCATGTGCGGCATCGGCTGGAACGCACTCTGCAACCAGCGGAGAAGACGGCCGGGGACAACGTACAACCCCGACGGAAAAGAACATTTCTGCGAGGCGGTCGTGTGCCAGCTGCGGCACGAGAACTTTGACACTCGCCATTTGTGCAGGAAGCGGAACATACGCTGGGGGGCTCACAAATATACGCCACCACCACCTCCCCCCCCACTTCCCATTCGCTGGAAAGAGGAGAGAGGAGGAATCGACGTGGTGGTGGTGTATATATTCTTTGGGCCCCCATACGCATTGACTGGTACGCCGCCTGGGGCAAGCTCTTGCGAAGGATTGAGCAACTCCATGCCGGCAGGGGCAAGTGCAGAGGCAGCGGCCAGGACCCAACGGGGACGGGCGAGACGCGCGCCGACCGAACCTGGCCCAACAACGAGCAGACCAGGCAGCGCCTTCCCAGCAGCCACGCACCATACCCCCAACGTGCCTCCCGGACCGTCGGAGAGCGGGGCTCGTCACCCACGGCGCGCTGGCGGCCCCGTGCGGGCAAGGATCCTCCCCAGACCGCTGCAGGGCGGTCCACGTACCCTGCCCACCCGACCCCGCGGGCCCACCTCCTCAGTGGCTGCCCAACATGACCAGCGCCCACCCCGAGGATGCCCTGAGGCCGCCCTGGGGGTGCCACGCCACCGCCATCTCACGTCCAGCTTCTGCCACTCCGGTCCTCTTCTGAGCCTGCAACCGCTCCTGCCGCGCGCCCCCTCCCTGGTGGCGCGCGGCTTCGCTTTCTTCCCGGGCATGCCCACAACCCCTGTCGGGCCGAATGCTCGGACCTGAGCTTCAGTTTTGCGCTCCAGGGCGCGCCCACGGCCGTCCATCCGGACCGCCGTGGGCGCCCTTGGCCCCTCCCCGCGCTGCCCTCCCGGTCCCCCCAGGCCTACGTGCTTTCCCTTGCCCGTTCCCCCTGCCACCCTGGCTGGGGGCGCTCGCCTCCGATGCTGTTCTGGCCCACCCAGGCGCGCCCGCAGCCGCCGCCCTGGCAGCGGGCGCCCCCCCCCCTCCTCAGCCCACCCCGTCCACCTGGGCAAGGGGGCGGGCTTCTGCGTTTCCCGCCGCGCACCCCTGCCCCCCCGCTCTCCCCCGCCCTCCGCCCCTCCCCCCCAGCGTTTGCCGCAGTTTTGGTTGGGCGGGGGCGGGCTCCCTGCCGTCCACCCCGACGGCGGCGACCCTCCCCCCCCTTCTCCCCGTGCGGGTCCACGTTGTCCACCCGGGCAGGGGGCCTTGCGCACCTTCACCTCGGCATGCACCAGTTCGGTGCCCACCTCTTTCTCGCCGCCCCGCCCAGGTCCTTGCCTTCGGCCGGCTCATCCTGCCCAACCTGGCGGCTGGAGCCCTTTTGGTGCCCCGCTGACGTGCGCTGGCGCCCTCCCGCCCCGCGTTGCAGCGCCTGCTGCCGCCCCGCGCCGCCGCCCCGCCTGCGGGTCTCCGCAGGCTGGGCGTCTTCGCCCTGTCCGCTTCCCCTTCCCCCGAGATCTTTCCCTCACTTTGCGCGCCGCCATGACGATGGGTGGCTGCTCGCAGCCTTCGCTGCTGCCCTGGGCCTGGTCTTGCCGCCCAACCCCGCAGTGGCCCATCAACCGACCAGGCGCTCCTCGCCCAGTCCCCTCCCTGGGGACGCACCGCCATCTACTTTTGACGTTGACACTGTTCGCATCGCATCCTGTGCCATACCCATACTGCGCCCCACCGCCGCCGGACCCCGGCGCAACAGCCGACGCCTCCCCCGCCGACGGGGCTGGCTGCGCCACTCGCTCTGGGCGGACCCGTCCCCTTGAGCGGCCCCTGCTCCCTCCCTCCTCTTTCGGCCGCCCTCCTTGTTCCCTTCCACTTTCCTGCATGGTGGCACAATTCACTTCAACGGGATCCCTGTTGTCATTGCTCTTCCGCCAGCGCAGTTACTCTGCTTAGTTGTCGACGTACCAAGTTTTGCGGCAAGTGTGGGGGTTTCTCCAGTGGCAGGGCTAAGAAGAAGATTTGTGAGGGTGAGCCTGCCAACTCCCAGGCCAGGTGCATCTGAGGCAAGCTTCTGCGGGACCAGCACCCTTACGCTAGCCAGCGCCCGTGTGAGGGCCCTGCGGTCGCCTTCTCGCCGCAGGATAATCATGAGATGCATGCTCCCTTGTAAGCATGAGTACCGCGGGTGGCGCGAATGGTAAGCACCACCCCGCGGGGCTCCGAGTGCCCTCGGTGATCTGCGTCGCGCCACTCGGGGGAAGTTGCCCACACACACCCCTCCTCCTAGTACCGAAAGTCGAGTGCATTCAGGCATACCCCGATAGGGTTCGTTCGTTGGTGTCCTCCTCCTCCTCCTCCTCCTCCTCCTCCCCTCCTCATCCAATGCCTTCTCCTCCCCCTCCTCCTCCTCCTCCTCCTCCTCTTCTTTTAATCACCATCATCGTCACCATCATCATCATCACCATCATCATTATCATCATCATCATCATCATCATCACCATCATCATTATCAGCATCATCATCATCATCATCATCATCATCATCATCATCATCATCATCATCATACGTAATTATCATCTTTCTCCTGGGTCCCCTGCTGCATCGTGGGGCCCCCTGGGTCCCCTGCTGCATCGTGGGGCCCCTCTGACGTCAGTTGGGAAGCTGGCGCTCTTCATGCCGAGCCGCATTGGCGTGGAAAAAGGCATCCCCCCCAATGAGGCCAGCACAACACACCCCCACCCCCACCAGGACCCTCACTGTTGACCTGGTGATTCAGGGAGTCCTGGCTGGGGGTGGGGGGGTGTTTTTGTTGGCTTCTTGGGGGCCACAAAACCATTCCCACCCCCAGCCAAGACCCCATTGGAATTACCAGGTCGGGCGTGGTGGTCCCGGCGGGGGTGAGGGTGGGTTGTGCTGTCCCCACCGCAAGGTGCCTATCATCCAGTACCCCGTGTCCCCGCGGCAGGGCCTCCCGGCCATCGCCCAGCCGCCGCTTGAGAGCCAGGCCGCGCCGCCAGCCACCGTCGCCGTCCCAAATCTCCGACGACGTGAGCGACGCAGTAAGCGGGGGCGACGATAGCGGCGAATAGCCCAGGGGGTATCCAGGGGTGCCGATGATCTATGTCGTCGACAAGGCTCGCGGGCGAATGCGTGTAATGCCCGCCCCTGGGCTATTCGCCCCCATCGTCGCCGCCGAAACAAGCGGGGCTTGTTTTCGCCGACGCTGGCGCGTAAGCTGCCTGCGTAAGGTCTTTCGTAAGCGCCATCGTTTTCGGTGCAGCGTGCCGCGCTGGTGGCCCGGGCGGGCCACCGCGCAAGGTCGCCGTGCCATCTCGCGTAAGGCCCGTTTCTCTTCGTCGCTCACATTTTTGTGTTGCACTCCCGGTTCTTGTTCCCTATAGGTTTCGGGCCCCAGGACAATCAAAGATGGGTCGGGGGGAAAATCGGGAGCAGCCAGAAGGGGGGTGATGACTAGGGGTTTGGATATCATGGCTGTTGCCATGATATCTCCCCAGGTCTCATGGCGCCTCTTCTTATTTCAATGCTCCCTTTACCCCCTTTCCCCCTGGGCCGCACACGTGTCTCGGGCCATGATTTGCACCCCCCTCTGAGACGCCCCCCCTTTTGGAACCCCCGAGAAAACCTTGCCCCAGGGCAAGGGGGGTCGGGACTTCCTGGGGGCCGCGCGCTGAATCAGATCATGTCGTCAGACGCCGCGGGCCAGCGGGGAGCCAGGCCACGTCCCTGCACTGGGACCCGGGCAAGGACAGCCACCTCAGCGGGCACCCGCGCTTCCTGCAGCGGGCGGCGAAGCCTTCCGGCAGGCGCCCGCAGTCCGACGCCGCGGCCCTCGCCGCAAGGACCCTCGAGGAGAAGGTGGCGCAGACGAAGCGGGAGCTGGAGGCCACATCGGCCCGCCTGGTCGCACAGCAGCTAGACAGCCAGGACAGCTTGATGGTCAACGACGCCCTCAAATACGACAAGGACCGGTCCAAGGCCGCCGAGAGGAGGAGGAACGCCGAGTTCCAGCGGAGGCAGATGGAGGAGAAGCAGCACAAAGCCATGCAGGAGGCGGCCGAGGCAAAGGGGAAGTGCGTCGGCTATTGGGGACCCGAGGAGAAGCCCCTGCAGGATTCGAGCGTCGCTCGGGTCCACTGCGGCGAGCTCATCCAGCAGATGGAGGTGGACCACCAGCGGAGGAACCTGCAGCGCGGAGTCAGCCTGCGCGAGGAGAAAAAGATCTTGAGCAATGCCCTGCAGGAGATGGTGAAAGACCGCAGCATGGATCAGCAGAGGGCGAGGGAGGAGAGGTCCGTGCTGACCACGACGTGGGGAAACCAGCGGAAAATACTGGAGGCGAAGAGGAGGGTCGCCCCCTAGCGGCCAGCGATCCCTCCGCGACGCCAGCCGGAGGGGCGCCTGCGGGCGCCGACGAGCTCGCGGAGTCGCCCGCGAGGAGATCGCGCGCCGGGCTGCCCGTGGCCAGGAGGCGAGGCGGTGCGGTGCGGAGGCGATGAGAGGATAGCACGGCGGGGCCTCCGCGGAGGAGGAGGAGGAGGAGGAGGAGGAGGAGGAGGAGGAGGAGGGGGAGGAAACGGAGGAGGAAACGGGAGAGGAGGAGGGGAGGGGAGGAGGAGGGGGAGGGGAGGAGGAGGAGGAGGAGGAGGAGGAGGAGGAGGAGGAGCAGGAGGAGGAGGAAGGGCGGGGGGAGAAACAGTCTCCCCCCGGCCTTCGGGAGGGGGCGCCCACGCGTGACCTCCAAGAGGCACGGGTTGTGGCGTCGTCTCGCTCTGCCGCCGCAGGTCGGCGAGTGGGGAGCACCGCCGGCTTCGCTGCATCTGCGGGGGGCCTGGTCCGTCCTGTGAGCCACGGCCTTTCCTGGCTTTCCTGGCACCCGGCGCGAGGTCGGCGCGGAGTCGGCGTGGAATCGGCCTGGATACGACGCGGATTCGATGCAGATGGCGGCACGATGGGACAGACAGGGTCCCCCGAAGATGCAACATACCGTACAGTCAACACTGATAGTAAGGATGATCGACTTCCCAAGGGTACCCCTGCACCCTTTCCTCTTCGGCCATCTTCGGTCCATCATCGACCACCTCCGATGGCCAGCCCCCCTCGAAGAGCCTCGGCATGGGTGTCCAAGGCCCTTGCATCCTTGGCGCGCATCCTCGCCACAGGCGGGCCGCGGAAGCAGGAACCCTTTCCCTCGGGGAGGTGCTCCGTGTTCCTCGTCTGTCTTGCAGCTTGTCTTAGGGGCGCTCGGGAGAGTTCTTCGGTGGGACACCCACCGACGCTCAGCTTCTGGAGAAGACAGGGGCCTCGTTCCTTGCTTAGGGCCCCTTGTGGTCGTTTTTGTTTTATTACTTGTTTTGCCGATCGGCGCGGGCCCTCGCACCCCCCCTCTCCCCCCCCCTCCCCATGGAGTAGATCGTGGCTGTTTTGGGCGCGTGCTTCAGGCAGGCGGAGTCCCTCCTCCACGGGGCGCACGGTTGCAAACAGCCGCCCTAACCAGAGGTCCGGAGCCAGACCCCCCCCCTTTGCCGCCTAGTGTCGAAACGCCCCAACTTAGAAAGCGCTCACCTTGTTTCGGATGCAACTCCTGGGAGGTCAAAATCTGTTTTTGCCCTGGTCCGAAATCCGGCTTAATCCGGCTTATTCCGGCTTAATCCCGCTCAATCCCGCTTGAATCCCGCTTGATCCCGCTTGAGCCCGCTGAATCCCGCTCAATCCGAGGCCCGTTTCGGCACAACAGCCCCCCAAGCGGGCTTGATCCTTTCTAATCCTTCCGACGAAGACCTCCCAGCAGTTGCCTCCTCACCCTGCGACGGCGCTTCGGCTGCATCAGCTCTTGACTGTACCGCACACCGCCCGCGAATCGCTCGGCGGGGGCGGCGACGGCGGGCGCGCAGGGGCGCCCTCCGCGTGCAGTGCCCGGGCGGGCGACGCGCGGTGCTCGCGCCGGGGGGGGGGCGCCGCGCGCCCGCCCGGGCGGGGCGCCGTGCGCGAGCCGCGGCCCCCGGCAGGCCCCCGAGGCTGCGCTGCGTCGGGGGCAGGTCGCTCGTCGGAAAGTGTCGGGGGAGCGTAAGACCCGGGTTTGCCAGGACTCGGGTTCGCCATCGTTTTTTTGACGACCGCGCCTCGGATTTTGACGAGGAGGAGTTTCGTGGGATGTCTGCAGCGGGAGGCCTCGTCAAAATGCAGGCTCGGCCTCGTCATTTTTTTGACGACCTCGTCGGGGATTCCCGAGTCCCCTGTACCCGGGTCTTACGCCCCCCTGAAAGTGGAGCAGATGCATTACCAGTGGCGGGTCCGTTTCAGTCCCAGGGCTTTTTTGAGGGCCGGGGACGACGTCGGGGCGGTGTGGTGTATACTTTTTTCCACCGTCTTCCAAGGGAAACAAGGAAAGATGTATACACCAGGATCCGGTATACACCAGGATCCGCGTTCCTGTGCGAATTTCAGCGCAGGGTCGGAAAATGCGTCGGTGTATATAGAGTTCGATTCCCTAATTCGGGGGCGGCAGAAGGGGGGATGTCATGGCGTGGGCCATGATTCGCCGAGCGCGTTCCACTGCTCGCAGAGTGCCTGCTCGCCAACGTCCGAGCCACGCATGTCCGTTTCCGGTGTAATCTATCGTAGATCCCCCGCGGCGGATCCAGGCAATGTGCGAGCAGTTACTCTGCGAGTAGTGGAACGCGCTCGTCCAATGATATTTCCCAGATATGGCGCCTCTTCTTATTTCATTACGTCGCCGGTCCCCCCTTGGGCCGCGCACGTGCCGCCGGCAACGATTTGCGCTCCCCCCTTGGACGCCCCCCTCTAGGCCGCCTCCGAATCATGGGAGCCTTGTATAGCCTCGTCGCTCGCAATTCCATCT